GGATCGAAAATCGCAGGTAAAGCCTGATGACACCGTCGCAGAAAAAATTAAAAATCGCATCCGATGAGACCCTTCCCGATTCTCGTTTTGTGCAAGTTTTCCACCATTGTATTCACCTTTTTATTTTTCACAAGTTGACCGAAGAAAAATGTCCAATCATGAAGGTGAGCTGGCGGAGCCGCTGCATTGAAAATTCCCGCCTCCAGTAAGCCTCTATTTTTTTACTTTTTTTGTGCCAATCGAGACCCTTTAACATGTTTTCTCGCATGAATGAGTACAAGTCGACCAAAATCGGCTGAAACTGGCCGAAAATGGCCAGCTTGAGGCAAACCACCGCCACGGGCGACGATGCCGTCACTGAAGCATAGCGATGCCGCCGTGCCGGAATCTTGAAATTGACCGAAAAAGATTTCTAACACTTATTTTGGATTTTTTTCGGATATTTCTAGGTATTTGGTGCGTGTTTTAATCTCCGAAGAGAAATTCAGGGAACCTAGGGACCGCTAGTAGGCGCAGCTGAAAGTTTAGCGTTTCATATATCGATTCGAGTAAGAATCCTTCGCTCTATTCCTTATTATAGAATTGAAGTTTAATTATAAATAATGTGGTATTTTGTACAATTTAAAAAATTTCGATAATTAATCACAGGTTACTAATGGAGTCAGAACCAGTTATTTATCACTATTTATCTTGTTTTAATTGATTTTACAGTTTTAAATGCATGACAATACGCTGGAGTTGGTAAAATGATTCAGTTATGTTTTCTTGATGCATGTATTGCTTGTTTTGCGTGATTTATAATTAAATTGTGAAAATAGAAATTAATTATAAAAGGATAATTATTTGATTAAGTGAAGATATTTTTGGCACTCATACGAGATGAAGTATGAAGACGGCCGGTTAGTTAATAATGTTAAATAAGGCTTCACGTGTAACGCCCAAACAATTAGGTATTTTTGTAATTTTCTAATAAATTGTTTTTATTAAGTTTATTTAAAAAAAAAAGAGCGCCACGTCAGCAGTCCTGGCCAACCAGGACCTGCCACGTGGCAAGACCACGTCGACCCGGGGACGGGCCACGTTGGCAATCCGCGTACGCGCGATCGGATGGTCCAGATCAAGCGTGCGCACTGACGGCCCAGATGCAATCGTACGGACGACCCAGATTCAATCAAAAACGGACGGCCCAGATTAAATCAAAATGGACGGCTGAGATCAAAAGGCAAAAGGGTATAAATAGAACCCCCACACCTGACCAAAAAAACCCTAGCCGCCTGCCCTCGCCGGAGAAGACGAACCAGACGCCGGAGGAGCCGGCCGCCGCCACCCGCCGCCGCACCGGGGAGATTTTCGACCGCCGATCGAGGTAAATTTCATACCCCTGACTCGTTTTTCCACGCTGATTTCCCCTGTGGCCAAATCTGAGCCAAAATCCTGGCCAAACGGCCGGAAAACACGGCCGAAACCCAGCGGCGCTGCCGCGCCCCTCCTCGATTTTTGCCTCCGATGAGGCCTTTCCCGGCCTCCGTTTGATGCAATTTTTATATCACCGTGATCACCATTCTTTTCTCTACAGATTGATCGGAGCCGAATCACCAAAACACGAACCTCACCGGAGAGCCGCCGCACCCGAGAGCACCGCCGCCGGTAAGCTTCGGTTTTTCGTAATTTTTTTTGGCCCCCCGAGGGCCCTAGGGTTGTTTTATCGCAGGGACCAATGCAAGTGTGGCCGAATTCGATCGGAAACGGGCGAAAACGGCCAACCCGAGGCGAATCGCCGCCGGAGCACGGCGGAGCCGCCGTGCCGGAATTGCAATATTGGCCGAAAGGGGCCCTGGGCCTAATTTGGGATTTTTTGGAAC